CCACCATGTGTCAGTTATACGAATTTGGTCAAATTTATGCTCTTAAATGAGCAATTCCAATTCCTCTCATTTATTACCCAGACTATTAGCATAGTATATAGGCTATTAAAGAATTTATTCTCTTTATGTTCCTTGGTGTCTTGATTAATTTTGTTCATAACATCTTGATTTTGTTTTACATAAGTTCTCATTTATTCTCCCTTTTCACCCTCCTCTTTTGTTCTTTAATGCATTCCAAACTAGTTTAGCCAGCCTATCCCCTAGAAGATATGCTCTCTTCTAGACCTGCTGCTCACAAACCGGGAAGAATTAGTAGGGGAAGCAAAAGTGGATGGGAACCTGGGCGGCAGTGACCATGAGATGGTCGAGTTCAGGATCCTGACACAAGGAAGAACGGAGAGCAGCAGAATACGGACCCTGGACTTCAGAAAAGCATACTTTGACTCCCTCAGGGAACTGATGGGCAGGATCCCCTGGGAGAATAACATGAAGGGCAAAGGGGTCCAGGAGAGCTGGCTGTATTTTAAAGAATCCTTATTGAGGTTGCAGGAAAAAAACATCCCGATGTGTAGAAAGAATAGTAAATATGCCAGGCGACCAGCTTGGCTTAACAGTGAAATCCTTGCTGATCTTAAACGCAAAAAAGAAGCTTACAAGAAGTGCAAGATTGGACAAATGACCAGGGAGGAGTATAAAAATATTGCTCAGGCATGCAGGAGTGAAATCAAGAAGGCCAAATCACACTTGTAGTTGCAGCTAGCAAGAGATGTTAAGAGTAATAAGAAGGGTTTCTTCAGGTATGTTAGCAACAAGAAAGTCAAGGAAAGTGTGGGCCCCTTATTGAATGAGGGAGGCAACCTAGTGACAGAGGATGTGGAAAAAGCTAATGTACTCAATGCTTTTTTTGCCTCTGTCTTCATGAACAAAGTCAGCTCCCAGCAGGGCCGGCTCCAGGCACCAGCTTGCCAAGCAGGTGATTGGGGCGGCCACTCAGGAGAGGGGCGGCACGTCCAGCTATTCGGCGGCAATTCGGTGGACGGTCCCTCACTCCCGCTCGGAGCGAAGGACCTCCCGCCGAATTGCCACCGCAGATCGTGATCGCGGCTTTTTTTTTTTTTTTGCGCCGCTTGGGGTGGCAAAAACCCTGGAGCCGACCCTGGCTCCCAGACTGCTGCACTGGGCAGCACAGTATGGGGAGGAGGTGACCAGCCCTCCGTGGAGAAAGAAGTGGTTCGGGACTATTTAGAAAAACTGGACAAGCACAAGTCCATGGGGCCGGATGCACTGCATCCGAGGGTGCTCAAGGAGTTGGTGGATGTGATTGCAGAGCCATTGGCCATTATCTTTGAAAACTCATGGCGATCGGGGGAGGTCCCGGATGACTGGAAAAAGGCTAATGTAGTGCCCATCTTTAAAAAAGGGAAGAAGGAGGATCCAGGGAACTACAGGCCAGTCAGCCTCACCTCAGTCCCTTGAAAAATCATGGAGCAGGTCCTCAAGGAATCAATTCTGAAGCACTTAGAGGAGAGGAAAGTGATCAGGAATAGTCAGCATGGATTCACCAAGGGCAAGTCATGCCTGACTAACCTAATTGCCTTCTATGAGGAGATAACTGGGTCTGTGGATGAGGGGAAAGCATTGGATGTGTTATTCCTTGACTTTAGCAAAGCTTTTGATACGGTCTCCCACAGTATTCTTGCCAGCAAGTTAAAGTAGTATGGTCTGGATGAATGGACTGTAAGGTGGATAGAAAGCTGGCTAGATCGTCGGGCTCAACGGGTAGTGATCAACGGCTCCATGTCTAGTTGGCAGCTGGTATCAAGTGGAGTGCCCCAAGGGTCGGTCCTGGGCCCGGTTTTGTTCAATATCTTGATTAATGATCTGGAGGATGGCGTGGACTGCACTGTCAGCAAGTTTGCAGATGACAGTAAACTGGGAGGAGTGGTAGATACGCTGGAGGGTAGGGATAGGATACAGAGGGACCTAGACAAATTAGAGGATTGGACCAAAAGAAACCTGATGAGGTTCAACAAGGACAAGTGCAGAGTCCTGCACTTAGGACGGAAGAATCCCATTCACTGTTACAGACTAGGGACCGAATGGCTAGGCAGCAGTTCTGCAGAAAAGGACCTAGGGGTTACAGTAGACGAGAAGCTGGATATGAGTCAACAGTGTGCCCTTGTTGCCAAGAAGGCTAACGGCATTTTGGGCTGTATAAGTAGAGGCATTGCCAGCAGATCGAGAGACATGATCATTCCCCTCTATTCGACATTGGTGAGGCCCCATCTGGAGTACTGTGTCCAGTTTTGGACCCCACACTACAAGAAAGATGTGGAAAAATTGGAAAGAGTCCAGCGGAGGGCAACAAAAATGATTAGGGTGCTGGAGCACATGACTTATGAGGAGAGGCTGAGGGAACTGGGATTGTTTAGTCTGCGGAAGAGAAGAATGAGGGGGGATTTGATAGCTGCTTTCAACTACCTGAAAAGGGGTTCCAAAGAGGATGGATCTAGACTGTTCTCAGTGATACCTGATGACAGAACAAGGAGTAATGGTCTCAAGTTGCAGTGGGGGAGGTTTAGGTTGGATATTAGGAAAAACTTTTTCACTAGGAGGGTGGTGAAGCACTGGAACGGGTTACCTAGAGAGGTGGTGGAATCTCCTTCCTTAGAGGTTTTTAAGGTCAGGCTTGACAAAGCCCTGGCTGAGATGATTTAGTTGGGAATTGGTCCTGCTTTGAGCAGGGGGTTGGACTAGATGACCTCCTGAGGTCCCTTCCAACCCTGATATTCTATGATTCTATGATTCTTTTATTGAGATGGAGGCCATCCAACTTGTACAGTCTCCTTGCCCCATAGAAGGTGGATCAATGTTCCACACTCTGTCTGACACCACTTACCAAGCAAGCATTTCACTTCCAGAATCTTCTATTTTCTGTCTTCCTTCACTTCCAGATAGGAAGGATTTCCAAGAAGATCATGTGAACATTCTTCTTTTTCAACATCCTTCCGAATTCTATAATTGTGAAGTTGTCTATAATTTGTGCAGCAGTGTCATTAGTGCCAATATACACCATCATCAATGGATTCTTGCCCACCAACTTCAGATCCTATCCAGACTTAGTCAAATCTCGTGCCTGGGAAAACAACACATTATCCTGTTGTCCACCTGTGCCTTGCAGAATGTTCTCTCCATTCTTATGAGTACCAAATCCCCAACACTGATAGGCTGTTTTCCTTGGATGACTGGAGATCTCTTCATGGGCAGCCTTGATTGCCCTGCAGGTTGGGCTGTACAGCCATCCACAGTATGTCCTATGCAGCTCTCCATTCTGTTTGACCTGCTGGATCTTCAGAGATATCTTTTACAGTTTCCACACTGAGAACGTGATAACAGTTGGGTACTTCTGTCTGTGTGGAATTCCTACTGGGGCTCTTCTCTCTGTTGGTCACAGCCTGCCCATCCTTCATCTGCCTCCAGCCATGTAGAAAGCCACCCGGCCCTCTTGCCGCTGGTGGTTATGAACTACCAAACCTCCTCTCTAGTTTCCATACTCTCGATTCCTTGGCAGCTAATTCCTTTATTTTTTGAATCTGGAGTGGTGAAGCTTCCTGAATCTGGTTGTCCAAGAATCCCTCAACATCTCTGATGCTCCGTGATGTGTACACTTGTCCTTCAGACTACAAATCTTTTCTTCCAGCACCGTTACCAGCTTGTACATCATACAGAGGAAAACCCTTGTGGCTCCCAGTAGGAAACAAAACATTGCACATGTATTGTTCATCACAACCATGGTTCTATTGCTGGACATCACAGCATTAAGTGTAGCGCTATACCGAGAACAAAAGCTCCTGTTTGCTGTTCGTGTTCACTTGGTCATGAGTTTACCTGGCAAATGATTTTCACTCTTCACTTGAACCCTTCACTAACAAGAAGCAAATAACTACTCACCAAGTTCATCTACCTCCAAGCACAGGATCAACAGCTATGCGCTCTGAAACTCCCATTTGCCACTCCTGTTTGCTGTTATGGTCAAGATTTTGTGTCTCTCAACCAGGGGTATGTGAACCCCAGGGAGTACACAGAGGTCTTCTAAGGGGTACATCAACTAGGGAAATAGCTAGACGAGTTTTACAACAGGCTACATAAAAAGCACTGGTGAAGTCTTTATGCTTCTTTATACTGCTCTATTCACTATACACTGAAATGTAAGCAGGGCCAGCTCCAGCATTTTTGCCGCCCCAAGTGGCCCCCCCCCAAAAAAGCTGCGATCGGTGGCACTTCGGCAGGAGCTCTACCACCGCCGCTTCATCCTTCGGCGGCAATTCAGTGGCAGGTCCTTCCCTCTGAGAGGGACAGAGGGACCCGCCGCCAAATTGCCACCGAAGAGCCGGACGTGCTGTCCCTTTCCGTTGGCCGCCCCAAGCACCTGCTTACTGTGCTGGTGCCTGGAGCCGGCCCTGAATGTAAGTACAATATTTATATTCTAATTGATTTATTTTATAATTATATGGTAAAAATGAGAAAGTAAGCAATATTTCAGTAATAGTGTGCTGTGGAATTTTTGTATTTTTATGTCTGGTTTTGTAAGCAAGTAATTTTTAAGTGAGGTGAAACTTGGGGGTACACAAAAAAATCAGATTCCTGCATGGGATATAGTAGTCTGGAAAGGTTGGGAGCCAGTGCCCTAGTTCACCACCTCCTCCTCCTCCTTCTCATCATCATTATCATCATCCATATTTTTAAAGTTCTCTTGGGATTGGGAAGCTTTTTTTTCAGTGAATTTTGACATTTAGTGAATCTGATGTGAATAGCTGAACTATACTATGAACTTGATTGCCTATAGATGGGGCTATTGTTTATGTGAAAGTTAAAAGCACATTGTTTCTTTCAGGTGTCTCATTTCAAAAGTAAAGACTTCAGTGATAACAGTCGATTAGGAAATAGCATATTGTGAAGGGAGTCTGAATAAAGCTGTATCACATAGTAATCTACTCCAGCGTTCTCAGAGATGGACTATCTTGCCTGCCTTATTGTTGTTCTCCAGTTATCTGAAAGTAAGATTGCTTTCTTTTTCTTTAGCAATATATGTTCTTTTTTTCTTGCATGACAGATATAATCAGAATTCATCAGTATTTATGTGTGGCTAAAATAATTTTTAAGGCATTCAGAAAAACTAACTGTTATAAGTAATAACACCCATAAGGATTTTGCTGGGCTTGTTCTTGTGCTGCTAGGCTTTTCAACCTTTAAAATATTTTGCTTGATCTTAGAATGTTAGCTAGCTAGTTGTATTAAACTTTGAAACTACAATTAGTGCTAACGCTGGGTATGTGTTTCAGCCACAGGGGAAGGAAGATTTGTGGATGCAACTGTAAAACTCACCAATAATATGAATCTGGAATGCGTCTATCCAAAGACAGATGGCATGACCCAGATGTCCTGGGTTAAGAGTATTGCAACTGGCAAAGAAACCATTGCTGTCTCCCACCCATTGTACGGTGTGCATATTGAAGACAAATATAAGGACAGAGTTCATTTTATAAATGCTTCCTCAAGAGACAAGTCCCTAAACTTCATGAAGACCACTGAAGCTGACATGGGCTTTTATATATGCTCCATAACTTTCCCAGATGGAGTCTGGGAAAAGGTGGTAGAGGTTATCCAATCAGGTAAGTGAAACCTTTGCTATTTTATAAATGGCTGGTAAATGCAAATATATACAAAGTTAGGAAAAATCTGGGCTCTCATTTTGGTAACAGAATTTGATGGATGATTCAATTGCTCTGCTAATAGTCATTTGGAGATTGCTTGCTACCATTTCAGGAAATAATTACATTACCAGGGATTCAAGTTAGGGGAGATCAACATATATCACAAAGGAGAAGAGCTGAATTTTTGAGGGAAGACATCACAGCAGTGATACAAATTTAGTTAATTGCCATGACAAGGGTTTAGCAATGACTTTAGCAAAGGGTTTTAGAGAATATTGCACATTGCAACATCAGTGAGCCATTTCCATTGGGAAATAATATCTCATGACCTTGCAATCTCACTACATGTATGAAATTAGCCCTTGTCACCACTATAGATTGTACTGTTTTGGGGTACATGCTTTTGGATCCACACTACCTGGTCATCAGTCCCTCTGGCCCAGAAGCTCTTCAGAAACAGAATGATAGAGTAATTAGCTATTTAGGAGTGAAGAGACTACAAAAGGGAGACGGTTAGGATAGGGTAAATCTTCCATAGAACTTCACTCAGCCCAGAGATTGTTTCTAAAGGCTAAACCAAGAAATTAGGTCCCATAAGAATAGTACATTTTTGCAGTTTTAAAAGTGATTTTAAATAATGTCTGACTGGTACATTTGACTTTCCAAATCCTATTTTTAATTAATTGAAACACAGGAGGTTTAAAGAGAATTGTAACAGAAACCCAAGAGCAGTGGAAGGAAAGTTTGTGGTCTTCACTCTTCACTTTGGTGAAATGTCAATATGAAAATATCAGTGATGACACCAGCAAACACCTGAACATTTTTTTTCTTAACTTTCTGTGATACTATTTGCAGAGCATAGGAAGTGGTTTTTACATGCCATCTATCCCAGTATTTCATTTAGCAAGTTGAGGCACAGGTATGCAACCCCTCGTCCAGCATATTAGCTAGCAGTGCCATTTACAGATCGACCAATGGGCCAGTGGCCTATATCTGTATTCAGTTCTTGCATCCCACACACACACTGACCTGCCATCTCTAGCAAATTAAAAACCTAAACCAAACAGAAGTCTAGTTGAGACTTGCTGGACTTCAAAACATGATCACTGATACCTTGGCTTGGCTCCATCTCATTCAAATACACCCCTGGATAGTGCCAGATTGAATCATAGGCAAAAATCTTGGTGTATCTAAGAGACTGGCCCCATGAGCCATGTGATGATGTCAAAATCTAAGTTTTCACTTGGGGGGAAAAAATGGTTTCTAGGCCTTAGGTTGTAAAGAGAAGTTTGAAAACTTTAAAAGATACAGTGATGTCTGCCTGAGTCTGCAGATAGGGTTCAGCAGAAGGAGGAGCAGCAGTCGTTAGAGTCAGAGAGAAAACCACCTGGTCTCAGGCTCATACTCGTGACCAGGTTAGTCCCTCACTGCTCCGGGAAAGGGAAAGGGTGCATGAATAGGGTTGTCCTGCTGGGCTATGTGGGATCACCCCTTGGTTGGGCTGAGATGTCCCACTCGCTTCCACTTCATAGCCATGAGAGTTCAAAGCTTACTTTAAAACAAAAAAGTAAAGAACAACATGGCTGTCTCAAGAAAAAAGGGATAAGGTTGGTGACCCTTTGTGACCCATCCCAATTTGAGCTCTGAGCAAGTCTACCCTTTCTTGACCGGGATTTCCCACAAAATCTAAAAAGTTAGAAGTGGAAGAGACCTATAGGTCCTTCTCTCCATCACTCTGCCATTTCAGGATTGTGCCCAGATCTGTATTTTTTGAGTGCTTTGGCCAGTCTACCTTAAAATTCCTCAAGCAACAAGGCTTCCACCTCATTCCAATTTCCTTAGGGAAATTAGTCCACAGTGTAATATCTGCAAATGGCATCCCCTTCACATGTATCAGCAAACTATAAATCCCAGTTAAAATTGCAGCTGTTGTCAGAGGTAACTATCTAAAAATGATATCATGAGGTTCTGTATGCTCAGTTAGAGATTTCCCCCCCTGTTTTAGCACTTTAAAAAAAAAATCTTCAGATGTTCTCTTTAATCTGCCAAGAGAGAGAATAAATGTCGCATAGAAATAACATTTTTTTTTTATTCAGAAAAATTTAAGCCTGGGAACAACAATTTGTGTGAATTATTTGCTTCCCTAAAGGTGTATGTAAACATTGGTCTAAATGGAATGAACTGCCTTACCAGACGATGCCTTATAACTTTATTCTACCATATTCATTAAACACTTAATAAAAAACAGGGCATTAAAAGATATCTATCACAGCAAGATCATAGCAGAACATTTTCTGTCAATTATATCTAATTTTACTGACCCATTAATCAGTACAGTATTGTACAGTCTATAAGTGAAATTCTGCTTCTTTGAAGTCAGTGGCAAAGCTCCTATTGATTTCCATGGAGCCAGGATTTCACCATATGTACATACAGTCCTGGAGTCAATGAAGGCAGCATGATCTAGCAAATAGAGCACTGAACTATAATTCAGGAGACCTGAGTTTTATTCCCAGCTCTGCCACTGACCAACTGTATATGATCTTGAGCAAGTCATTTCCCTTCTCGCTTTTAGTTTCACAACGCTGTGTTACAGTTTTTCTACCTTTAATATGGAGATAGTCACATTTGACGTCTTTTCTAAAATGCTTTGAGATCTATGGATGAAAAGTGCTATATGAGAGCTAAGTATTATAATTCCCTCTGTTTTGCTTCATGTCCTGCAGGGTAAATTCCATTATCAAGTAACATTGAGTACCTGTAAAAAGATAGCTGTTATTGAGGCAGTATTCTTTGTATACACAAATCTGGTCAATATATCAGAGAAGGGTCATTTTAGCAGACATTTGAGACTGTTTTTGAGTAACAATGACTTCATGAGTTAAGATTTTTTGTTAAAATTTGTACTTTACTGACTTTTAATGGACATTACTTTTCCAAAAGGGCTGGTTTCTTTGTTTAGTTGGGTATTTTGAAGTTATTTTATACATTGTCTGCAGACATTATGAACCTCACTTCTATTTGTTGGCAATGGCAGATCTGGGATTTTGCAATAAGCTCCATCTTTATGAAAATACAGTGAACTGAATGAGATCTAAAGTTTTACCCAAAAAATATTTGAAATCCTTTTTTTTTCTTGCAAAGTAGTTAGTTGTATTTTCTATCATTTTGTTAGGCGTACTCTACATGCAAAGTTGCATCAGTTAAACTAAAGGTGTGATTTTTATACTAATTTTATTTAAACCACTATAACTTTTTCTGTGTGGGAGCTCTTAGATCAGTGTAAGCATGGCTTATATCAGTTCAGCATGCAGTGGTAAATTTACAGGCACAAGCTAAACTCTATATAGCCAGTTTTAAACCAATATAAGGGTGTCCACAGAGTTTTGGTTTTTAGCTAATTTATCTAAATCAGATTTTGAACTTAAATTAAACTTGCACAACTTCTATGCACAGATAAGCCCTAAGTGTCTTGGATCATTCTTTATAATAAAAAAAAATCAACAGTACTCCATTCAGACAATTCTCAGGCACTGTAGTGCGTCACTTAATTTCCAGATTAGTTAGAGTGGAAGAGAAGTGTTCTACAGAAGCTGTAGACATAATTAGAATCACACATAGTCTAGGCTATATTTGAAGATTGTGAAAAACTGTTAGACTACTACTGAGCCAACATTACACTAACAGTATTGGATATGGATTCCTTTCCTTGCAGTTATCTCTACCATTGTTGGTGGAGCTGGTTGGGAATTTTTTGGTAAAATATTTTTGTGTTGGGAAATGCTGATTCATTGAAACTGAAACTTTTCATGGAAACTTATCAGTACTGCCCAAAATTTTAAAAATTTCATCAGGAAGGTTGTTCAGATTCAGGATTGGGAGGATGGGGAGAGGTGGCGGGAAGAAAGAGAGATCCACCCTAGAATAGCCAATAGCTAATTAGCATTAGGACACTCACCTGGAATGTGATGGCAATACTGTTTTAGACTTGGTTTTGGTAAATAGTGAGGACATTAAGGAAGAGCTAGTTGTAGAAAATAATCTTGAATCACCAATTGATGTAGCTGTGAAAAAGGCAAGTGTGAGGTGAGGTACTTCCAGCAGAGAGAGAGGGAAGCAGTAATACCTTTGTACAAGGCACTGGTAAGACCAGGGCCGGTGCAACCCATTAGGCGACCTAGGTGGTCGCATAGGGCACTACAATTTGGGGGACGGCAACTGTGGCGGTATTTCGGCGGTGGGATCTTCCGCCGCCTCTGTGGGGAGTGGCATTTCGGGGCAGGACCTTCTGCCACCTAGGGCGGCAGAAAAGCTGGCGGCACTCCTGGGTAAGACCACATCTGGAATACTGTGTGTGGTTCTGGTCACCCATGTTCAAGAAAGAGGAATTCAAATGGGAACAGGTACAGAAAAAGGCTGTACCAGGATGATCAGGAGAATGGGGAGTCTGTCTTACAAGAGAAGACTAAAAGAGCTTGGCTTGTTTATTTTAGCAAAACTAAGGCTGAGAAGGGTATATTATTGCTCTTTATAAATATATTGGGGAGGGAGGTAAAGGACAATCTAAAGAACAGTTTTTGCACAACGACAAATTCATATAAATTCACCATGAGTACCTTTAGGTTGGAAAACAGAAGAATAGAACCATGAGAGGAGTGAGGTTCTAGACTACCTCCCAATAGGGTTAGTGGGGGCAAACAACCTAGCTAGTTTTAAGATGGAGCTTGATAAATTTTATGAATGGGATGACATGATGGGGTTGCTTATGATAGCTGGGGATCTGGAATCGATGACTCAGGAAGTCCCATCCAGGTCTGTGTGCCTATGGATGTGGGAGACTCTGGTTCAAGTCCCTGGTCTGCCAGATCTGGAATAAAAAACAAATATCAAAGCCTTATTTTTGTGTGTGTGATATAGAATCCTTGTTTTTCCAGTCAGCCCTATCTTATACTCCGTAG